ATAGGTATGAGGCAAAATGTGGAAGAATGGTGCAGTACATGTTATGCTAAAAGGGGACCCAAGCATAAGGGACGTGCTCCAATGAAGTTATATCAAGTTGGTGCACCAATGGAAAAGAGTAGCTGTTGGCATTGCTGGTCCTTTGCCTCAAACTCGTACTGGAAACAAGTATATTTGTGTGGTGATGGATTATTTCACCAAGTGGCCTGAGGCATATGCAATACCAAATCAGGAAGCTACAACTGTAGCTTCGGCTATTAGTGACTTCTTCTTCAGAATTGGTATGCCATATGAACTGCATTCAGATCAAGGCCGTAACTTTGAATCAGCTGTGTTCCATGAATGCTGCAAGTGGTTTGGTATACGAAAGACCAGAACAACGCCACTTCACCCACAGTCTGATGGGATGGTAGAAAAGTACAACTGGACACTTGGACAGGAATTGGCAAAGTTTTGTAATAGCCACCAAGATGACTGGGATGTCTTACTCCCTCCACTGTTGTTGGCCTATAGGACAGCAGAGCATGAAACAACTGGATACACTCCAGCAAAGTTGATGTTTGGTCGAGAACTTTGGTTGCCAGTGGATCTGTTAACAGGGCGCCCACCTTATGAAAAGTTGCCTGAAAATGTGTCAGAATTCGTGAAAGTGTTATCGGAAAGGATGGATAATATTCACCATCAAGTGCATTCAAACTTGAAAACGTCTGCTGATTCGGTGAAGTTATGTTATGATAAGAGATCTACTGAAGTCAGCTTTGTACCAGGAGACAAGGTGTGGTTCTATATTTCCAGGAAGACCAAAGGGAAGTCTCCTAAGTTGTCATCTCCATGGGAAGGCCCATATGACATAGTGGATCGTCTCTCAGACGTGACGTTCCGAATAAAATGTGGTCGGCGCGGTAAGCCAAAGGTGGTGCATGCCAACACGCTTTGGCGTTATCACGGTCCAGGACATTTCAGTTGGAACAAAGTGAAGAATTAAACAAATGACACTGCTGAAGACATGTCACCTGAAAAAGCCACTGTTGAAGAAGAAACTCTACCCGGTTTTGAGAAGGGAAACAGTGAAGCCCTTGATGAAGTTACTACCACTGATGTGACTGTTACTGATGATAGGATAATTCCCGATGGAGCAGATGAACCTCACGTGAAACAGAAGCCAACGAGATGGAGACCAGTATGGAAGAAAATACGTCCCGTAAAATTAAGAGACTTTGTTGAATTTTAATTTTTGTGTTTGTAAATTCTGTACATTTAATTTAGTTATTGTTAATTATCTATTGGTTTAATGTAAGTGGCTATTGCTCGGACGAACAATACTAAAGAAGGGGTAGTGTTACGACAGCGGAAGTAACACCTCATGATATTCTAGAAGGATCATGTGTGTTCGTGGCAACTCTAGTATTCTCTACGTGCCCTCTATTTTTTATATATATAAGCCGGCAAATGAAGTGACGGCATAATAGATAATAGCAGACAGA